CTAGGCCTGGTTCTGGATGGTAGCAGGGCGGATCAGTGCTCCAGCTTTCCCCCATGGTCACCACCAGGGTGTGTTCTCCAGCACTGCCTCGGTCAGCCCACCCAAGAAGCCTGCAACAAGAATCGGGGCCAGTTCTTGCTTTCAGGCCCTTGGTCTGGCTCAAGCTCACCTATACTCACACCACCTGGGCCAGCTCCATTGTCTTGCCCAGGCAAGATGCAGGGCCTTCTGTCCATTGCTGTAGGGGACGAACGAGGGGGTGGTCAGTTCTCCTGCTCCGATGACCTCAGGGCCAGCTCACCTCTGCCTCTGCCAACAGGGTCAGCTTTAGCGCACTGCCTAGGTGAGGTGCAGGGCCTGTTCTCCTGAGTGCTGCAGCCAGTGAGGGACAAGGCTGGCTCTCCAACTCTGTGACTTGGGGGCCAGCCATCTCGACTGCCTGCTGCTGGTAGCATGAGGTGGGAGTGGGAGGGCATCCTTCCCTCACCCATGCCACCACATGGCAGATAAGGGGGGCGTTGGGTCAGCTCTGCAGTTCTTAAGCCCTCAGGGCGGGCCCACCTGCATCCCTGACAACAGGGTCAGCTCTAGTGTGCTACCTAGGTGAAGCATGCCTGTGGTGAGGGGTGAGGCCATCTTTCCTGATTGTGGGGCCAGCTCTCCTGCTGCAGTATCCAGCAAGAGGCAGGGCCAGCTATCCCACTGCCTGCCAGTGAGGAGTGGAGCTAGCTCCCATGGCCCTCAGATTTCAACACATTTGATTCCTATGACCCCAATGGTAACACAGGCCATGGACATCAACACAGACCCCAGCCACAGCAGAACCACAGACCCAGACATGGGCCTGGGCCCAGGCATCACCACATCCCTGGTGGCAGTACAGGCTACCCAGATCAATATGGCCCTCGTAGCAGCATGGCCCTCAGACACCAGCATGGTCTCAGATGGCTGACCAGACCCCAGGCATTTGTACAGCCCTCAGTAACGGTGGCCACTGACATCAACTCAGCCTCTGGCTGTTGTAGAGGCATGGCACCAGACACGGCCCTCTGTAGCAGTCTTGGCCTGGAGAATACCGTGGCCTCAGATAGAAACGCAGGCCTCCTCGTTCGGCATGGCCCTGTGGTAGTGTGTTCCTTGGATGCCAACATGACCCCAGGTAGCGGCCCAGACCCCTGGCATCATCATGGCCTTCAACGGTATCAGAAGCTATGAAAATCAACTCAGACCCTGGCTACTGTAAGGCCACGGGAAATTTTGTTTTTATGAATTGAAAATGGCTGCTTTTAAAACATGTAAAATCATTCACAATTTACCAAGAGCATTTCTACGAAAATGGAGATTTAATGCATGCAGCAGGGGAGACCCACAGAGCTGCACACAGAGGACCATGGAGTGAGGGCAAAGGTTCTGAAGCTGAGATGAGGAGGAGGCTGTCTGTTAAGGACAATGGTATGTGGCAGCAAACTGGAGGGAAATACTCAGATTAAACGACATGGGGCATCAGCCACGTAGAAAACCAACAAGGAGACTCCTCCCTGCTGGTGGCCTTTATTGGGCCAAAGGAGCTAGACAGGCTGCTGGAGGGAAAGACATCAATGGTCTTGCTCAACATAGGAGCCTGCATGCTACAATACCAACCTTCCAGACAAGACGTGACCCCTGAAGCAATCATGAAATGGCTGTTATGGGGTAACTAATTGGATTTGTGGGCTGTTCCATAGGGGGGATTTTCATTCCTGACACAGTAACACTGGTCAAAAGTTCAGGATGGGAGAGTCAGGCTCTGGGATAGAACGTACTATTGTTATTTTGCTCAATGGTAATGTTGTCAAATTGCCTTCTAAATATTTATGTTTATACCCATAAACCCGGGCTACCCCTAACCTTGGTTAGAAAGGCTCCTTTTGCAGTGGGCAGCAGGCAATACAGAGACACGTACTTCATTAACGTGCTGAGAATTAGAGCGCTCAGCCTAAATGGGGCATCAAGTCCCCCTGCACCCCCAGGCAAGGCTCAGGGACTCATCAGCTTGGATGAAGAGGAGGAACTAATATCAGAGCTGGGGCATGGGGAGAAGTGTTGAAATGCTGTCTTCTGGATATGGCATGGCCTCCATAATCATGAGTTCACACCAACTGTGGTTACCTGCATAAGATAAAACCAGACAAAATTCCTGAGTAGATGGGGATGATCTCATCTCCAAGCCCTACCCCTCTACTGAGGGACGATTAGCAGCTGATAGCTGCTGAAGAAGGGGCACAGGGGAGTTGGGAAGGGAAATGAAGGGTGGACATGGTCATTTATCTTTGTGTACGTGCATAAAATTACTAAGAATAAAGAAGATATTTTGAAGGTGATGAGAGACAATGAGCCGCAGGAAGTGAATTTGTAACTGCAAAGCTCTTCTGCTTTCACGGTAGAGACCAGACAGCGAGTAGCAGGAAAGGAAGCAGGAACTGGGGAGATAGATACTTTGGGGTCCAGGGAAGGAGAGGAGTGGAGGAAGTGTCACTGGAAGGAGGTGGGAAGCAAGTTCTAGGGTAGCATTGTAAGCTTGTGACGTCAGCAGCCAGGCTGCAGGGCTAAGCAGCCAAGGACTTCTTTAGCACAAAGGTTAGTCACCCAGGCGAAATCAGTGGGTTCTGACAGCAAGCAGGTGGATATATGACACTCACCAGCTTGTGTGGGTTATAGACAAGAGGCAGGTCACATTTGCAAGCATTTAAATCATGTTGGCAAGCAGACTGGCCAGTGTTTTGGGTGGGTAATTGTGGTGGTATTTTACTTGTACTGAAATGTGATTTTAATTGTATGTTAATAAATAAAGTTGCCCGGGGGTCAGAGCTATTAGAGCCATAGCAAGAGTGTGGCGGTGGTGGCACACGCCTTTAATCCCAGCACTTGGTAGACAGAGCTAGGTAGATCTCTGTGTGTTCAAGGATACAGCCAACATTGGAGACACACGCCTTTAATCTCAATACCATAGAGGACCTGCAGGGCTGTACATACAGGCAGTGAAGAGGCAGTCACGTGTTTGGGTTTACAACCAATGAGAAGGCAGAACAGCTAGACTATATAAAGACATACACACAGGAAGTAGGTCCCTTTTTCGGAGAGCTCTCTTGGCTGAAGCAGGAAGGGTAAGGCTCTTAGCTCTGACCTCTTGGCTTTCTTCTCTGAATCGGCTCTGTGTTTCTTATTTAATAAGACGGTTGGTTACATCTACAGGTAATGCTGTGGGCTGAATTACATTCCCACCCACCTAAAATTCATAGGATGAAGTTCTGATACTGAGCGTCTTTGTATGTAACTCTACTTAGAGATTGCACCTTTAAAGAGGTAACTAAAGCAGACCTTTAGGAGACTACAGATCTTAAAGGAAGATATTAAGAAAACACACTGTGTAGACATGACAGATGGATATTTTAGTGTGCTTTCTGTTGCTGTGATAAAATACCATGGCCAAAAGCAACTCGGGGAGGCAATGATTTTTTCCTTCATAAAAGGGAGTCGGGGCAGAAACTGGAGGTAAGAACCTAAAGGCAGCCGGGTGGTGGTGGCGCATGCCTTTAATCCCAGCACTTGGGAGGCAGTGGCAGGAGGATCACTGTGAAATCGAGGCCAGCCTGGTCTACAGTGTTGGGCCCTGACACCCACCCCCACCCCCACCGTTCCTTGGGGAGCTGTTGCCTTGCTTGCTGACCTTGATCAGATGTCCTCCCTATGCTAATTCCCTGCCAGTCCTGCATTTGATGTAAACAGCTAGGATGCAAGAATGTAAAACATCTGTAGCGAACTTCTGCCCTCAGGGGTTCTCCCACTATGCTGAAAGCCTGTATTTAAGGTTTCCTCCCTTCTTCAATAAATGGCATTGGGCATTCTACTGAGACGAATGACCAGCTGTCTTGTCTCTGTTTTTAATCCTCAGCCCCTCACTCAGACATGGGTGGCAGCTACAAGAAAGAGTTTATCTTAGCTTGTATTTCCAGAGAGAAAGTCCATAATGTGTGGGGAGGCATGGCAGTGGGCAGCTGGAGCAGGCAGCTGAGGGGTCACATCTTCAATCCCATGCAGAAAGTAAACTGGAAGTGGGGTGAGACTACAAACTCCTAAAGCCCACCTCTAGTGACATGCTTTCTCAATACCAAGGTTTCCTCTCCTAAAAGGATCTATAACAATGGTTCTCAACCTGTGGGCTGTGACCCCAGACCCATCAGAAAACACAATCATTTACATTATGATTCATCACAGTAGCAAAATGAGAGTCATGAAGCAGCAACATTCCACAACACGAGGAACTATATTAAAGGGTCGCAGCACTAGGAAGATTGAGAGCCACTGTTCTAGAACTTTCCCAGATGGCACCACCAACCTGGGGCCAAGTGTTCAAACACATGAGCCTATGAGAGACATTTCCCACTCAAAACAGCATGATAGTGAAATATCTTAAGACAAGAATGCCCGAGTGCTGGAGACACACCATGTGGGTGTGGAAGGTGAGAAGATCTTGGTTTGGGTGCCAGTTTTCCGTTGCAGTTGCATCTCTAGAGGCTGGCCCATAGCAGGTGAGCCAGCCTGAAGAATGCTAGGTTTGATGGTTGAAAAGCACGGCTTGTGAAAGGCACAGGTTCTCAGATGCTGCGCGTGATTTCCTGGGTGCAAATCTTTAGGGGGGGAATTTGGGACAGCTTAAACAGAAGTCATGAATGACTCAACACATCTGAGAAACAAACAAGTAGGAAAATGCATTAGTTAAGTTTCACATTCATCTATCCAAACTTAAATGAATTGAAACTGACACATATCTTAAGGGATATTCTATACTCATCTGGGAGATTACAGGGAGGCCCCAGGGGAAGATTTATGCGTTAAATAGATTTTCTTTAATTGTACCGTTAGGTAGAATAGTTACTGCAGTTCCACAGTTTAAGAGAGAGGAGAGTCTCCCCAGTGGAAAAACTACAGAATAAGCAAATGACTAGAAAACATAGGATGACAAAGTTACAGACATAAGATTTTATTTAGAAGTAAGCCACTTTGTCAAGAGCCTTTAAATTGAGAAGAGATACTATTTATTCACAGATTCCAAATGGAGTGTCTTTCCCATTGAAACATAATGAAATTAAACTGTTGTATGGCTGGTTGTAAGCAAATTTGTTTAGTAGTGTATAGAACCCACACAATGGAGTTCCTCCTCCTGCAGAGTCCTGGATTCCGTGGGGTGCTGGAAGCACAAGGCAGGGTGAGCCCTCCCATTCCTTCTTACCTGCAACAAGGGCCAGAGGTCAGCTACTTGCTAAGGTGCCACCCAGGCCTCTTCAGCTGGCTCTATATACTCAAACATCCCGGGAGCTCTGGCAGCAACCAGTCTGTTTCACAGACTGCTCCCCTAGGCTGCAGGAGCAGGGGGTCCTTTCTCTGGAGATCTCTTTCTGTCTTTAGCATCTACTTTCTGTTTCTCTGTATAGTATTTTTGATATTCTGTGACTAATTAACTTACATGCTATCTTATCACTCCGTAACATCACAGGTTCATTTCCTGTATTCTGCAGCTGAATGTAACCTCTTGCTCTTTGGTTCCTCTCTTAGAGCGCTTACCGTACTTGATGGCATAGGACAAGCTAATAGGTTTGATTGTCTCATCCTTGTTTTAGCAATAGGAACTCAGTTCTGACTCATTTGAGAAAAAAAGCGCTTACCGTACTTGATGGCATAGGACAAGCTAATAGGTTTGATTTTCTCATCCTTGTTTTAGCAATAGGAACTCAGTTCTGACTCATTTGAGAAAAAAAGAGTTTCTCAAAAGCTGGGGAGATGGTTCAGTGGATAAAACGTGCTGCAATCAATGGCCGGAGTTTAAATCCCCAGAACTCAAACAATCTGGAGCTGCCTAGAGGACCTGCGATACCCATGCTTCTACGGTGAGCTGGGAGGCAGAGACGTGTGAACCCTTGGAAAGTTATGGAACAGATGGCCTGGTGTACACAGCACAACAACAGAGACTCTGCCTCTGACAAGGTGTAAGGTTGTCTTCTGACCGCTTCCTTCATATATACTGTGACACACACACACACACACACACAAACAACAATAATAATAACTATAATGATAATAATAATGATGATAAATACTTTACTAGGCATGCAAACTGCTTTCAGAATGAAGCTGCAAGGGAATTTGGATACGAGTAGTCACTGTCCTCAAGTGTTGGGCTCCAACTCTTGGCTCTGCTTCTTCTGCCTTGGCTTAGATCCCAGCAGACCGTCCCTTTCCAGGGACAAGGTTGACCAGGATCAGCTCCAGGCTTACAGCCTTCCAATGTAGCAATCGTGTTGAAACACTGACTTTTCTAATTATTGCAACCAGTGTTTTAGAGACGGTGCTGTTCTGGACTGGACTGGAGCAAATTTGATTGAACAAATTCTTCTGGGTAGTGGTGTGGAATTGCTCCAACAGGCCAGGCTAGGGTCAGTTTTGACTAACTCACTCCAATTTGTTTATTACTCTTCTGATTTTTATATAAAAACAATCTCATACCCTAGGAAAGTCCTCAATTCACTGTAAACCAAGACAGCTGGCACCTTAGGAGTCCATGCTGGGGAAAAGGGGAGTACTATGGCTAGCCTAACTGAGCTCTCATAGGCTAAGAACGGTGGTAGGGGGCACCAGAGAGATATCTCTGTGGTGAAGAGCATGTACTGTTCATTCAGGGGACCTGAGTTAGGTTTGCAGCACCCACAAAGGCAGGTTACAACGACCTGAGACACCAGCTCCAGGGGAACCTGGGGCCTCTGGCTTCCTTAGGCACCTGTCCTCACTTGCACAAAGCACATACAGACACTCACATACACGTAATTAAAAATAATGTAAATAAAGCCTTAAAATATGAAAGTGGGTAGTCTCCATTAGAACCATAAGTAAAAGAACAAATTCAGGGCAGGCAGAACACCAGAATAATACTTTTTTCTATTCATCCTTTTGGACTAGAGGCCCCATGAGGGCAGGGACTGAATCTTACCCATTTTCATTTCTTGTGTGTGGGGGGGAGGAGGAGTGGAATGAGCTCTCCAGAGAAGAAAGCCTCCAGAGAACTTGTGTTCTTTCTTTCATTTTATTACATACTTGGAGAACTATCTCTTAGGATGAAGAAATGTCACAATAGATGATGCAGGATCATTTTAAACAGTGTTGCAATGTAGGAGAATCTCCATTTCTCCTGAGATTATTCAAACTTAATATTGCTTAAAGCAAGGTAGGTGGATAATCTCATTCCCTGAGCTCTCAAAATTACCATGGAGCCATGTTTCATAAGGTAGTTTTGTGCCTTATAGCTGCAACAAAACCTACATTATGTTTTCTTCATATAAACATCCAGTATGCATCAGAATCTGAACTTTCAGCTACTCCCCTGAAGACTTGATGTTGACTCACTTCTTTGTGTTTTGTGACCGTCTTATTAGAACAGTGAGCAGGGGTTGTTTTGCTTTGGCCAGGGTGTGGCTTTTGCTCTGAAACTGTTTTCCTGTAACTTCTGACCTAACTCCTGCCAACAGTGAGTTAGGCATCAGTCGGTGTGCTTAGAGATCTACACCCTTAGCTTTGAAAACAGAATAAAATTATTTTAATATTTTAAGTTAATGAACAGATGGAAAATCTTGAACTTAATTCATGGAAGAAAATGAAACAGCCTTTGACATGCTGCTTTCAAATCTGGCATTGCCTCTGGAGACAAGGACTTTAGTCTGTGTGAATTCAGCCTGGCCAGTTCTTTCTAGGACACATCATTCATTTATGAATAAGTTTAGACTATTGCTTCCTTGCAGTCTCTAACACAAAATGTTTTCAAAGATGTAGGGATTTTTCTTTACTTTTACTCTTTGAGGGGCCCACCACCCAGATCCCAAATAAATATACAGAGTATTATTCTTTCTTATAAATGCTTGACCTTAGCTTGGCTTGTTTCTTGACAGCTTTTCTCAAATCATCCTGTTTACCTTTTGCCTCTGGGCTTTTACCTTTCTCTATTCTATATCTCTTTTTTTTTTCCTTCTTACTCCATAGCTGGCTGTGTTACTCGGTGGCTGGCCCTTGGAGTCCTCCTCTCCTTCTCCTTTTTTTTTTTTTTTTTTTTGTTTGTTTTTTCGAGACAGGGTTTCTCTGTGTAGCTTTGCGCCTCTCCTGGAACTCACTTGGTAGCCCAGGCTGGCCTCGAACTCACAGAGATCCGCCTGGCTCTGCCTCCCAAGTGCTGGGATTAAAGGCGTGCGCCACCACCGCCCGGCTCCTTCTCCTTTTTTCCCTCCACCCTCTTCTTCTATTTATTCTCTCTGCTTGGCAGCTCTGCCTACTATCTCTTTCCTGCCTCACTATTGGATATTCAGCTCTTTATTAGACCAATCATGTGTTTTAGACAGGCAAAGTATCACAGCTTCACAGAGCTAAAAAAATGCAATATAAAAGAATGCAACACATCTATGCATCATTAAACAAATGTTCCATAACACAAATGAATGTAACACATCTTAAACTACATTCTACAACATAAAGGCTCTCTATATAAAACTCTCTTTTCAAAAAGCTGAGGTGAAAAAATATTTAAGTGAATGTTATTCTTTTGTCTACCTAAATAAAGCAATACTTATGTCAAAAAATTACATTAGAAATGAAGATCAGTATTAATGTCACATTCTTTTACCTTTACATATCTAGAAGGACACTTTAGTGGACTTTCCAGCACCCACTCCATCTCAAATATTCTAAGGAATAAAGAAGTAGTTTGGGAAAAACAGTTCCTTCCCAGTGCTCAGGTTAGGGTGTGGACGGAAAGACTGGTAGTTAACTGTTCCTGTTTTTTCCTTACTCAGAGTTGGGCATGTGAGACAGCAACTAGTCTAACTGAAAAGCTGGTGGCGCTACTAAGAGACCAAACCTCCAAGAAGTCCTTTATATTACCCAAAGAGCAAGAAAAAAAAGGCTCCTATTACTCCTAAAACTGCAAGTAGTTATCTTTACCATGAAAGGAACCAGATGCCAATTCATTTCCAGGCAGAGAAAGAGTGGTGTGTGCATGAGTAATGGCTCCCTAGCTGGGCTGCAAAGTCAGCGATTTCTGAAGTGCACCTTCCTTCTGGATTTCTCGTTCTACAAGGAAACAAATAACCCTTATCATTTAGGCTTATTTGACACAAGATTTCAATAACAGTTGACAAGGGAAATAATATGAGAGATAACAGGAGTCTGGTGCCAAAAGGAACCATTTTGTCCCTTTGTTTTTGACTACTTTATCTTCCAGTGGAGGAAACCAGACTGCAAGGGTCTCTGAGCCAATCCCCACACAGGCAGCAGCATCAGGGAGCTTTTCTTTCTCCTGGTGACCAGCACACTGCTCTCTTCACTACAGGTGTCACCCATACAGCACTCAATTCTGCTTTTTCTTTTGTAAGCAATTGTGTCCCCAGTAAGGAAGCAGCAGAATCTGCAAAATCAGTCCCCAAATGCAGAAAATCTAAGTGCTGCTAAACTGTATATTACATAAATTCTCCTGGAACTCAATCTTACCATTCTGAGTGGTCGTCATCATGACAGTCACAGCTAATACCACGATCAATGACTATGCCAAGTGCTTTATCTGCTTTACTGAACTTATTTGACAAGAATCCTGGGAGGTTGGTACCACAGAACTTTCTGTGCAGATGAAGAGATGGAGTTCGAACAGGTTGAGGCAAGTGCCCAAGATTAGTCAGTGCTGGCAGATTCTAGGGCTGAATTAGATAGCTTCTACCAAGACTTCAGCAAAGACAACCTGTAGATCCAGGATGCTCCACTTTCCTAATGCACAGGGTTATCTGAGGCTTGAAACTGGAATCAATTTATCAAGGCAAACTAACAATGAACAAACCACACTCAGATTCAGATTTCTTCCTTGAGTGCACCCATGCCCTTAGTGATGGCTATCCTCTCAACTCTGACCAACATACCACATTCAGTCTTTGACATTTAATGACCAAGGCTGCAAGGACCCGATAAATCCAGCTACTGGGTTCACAGCTAAGTTTTTCAGACTTCAGGATATAGTATACGATTATGATACCCTTAACTCATTTCTTTGTACCTTTTTGAGTATCTGGTGTATAGTAATGAAAATATTCTCTGGACATTTGCATTTTAACAGAGAAAGGGACATTAAACTCGGAGTACTTTAAAATAATCATTAAATCCAACAAAGACTGAATACTTCAATGTCAGGTTCATCTTTGGGCATTACAGATACAAAGAAAAAAAATACTAGCCTCTGTCAACTGCATCTGAGCAATACAAATATTAAATAAATGTATCTGTTTGGCAAGTCTCTTAAGTTTGAAGTTGGATTATTCAGCTCTTCGACTATTACCCTCTTTAAAGGCAAGACCATGATTTCACATACACATCTTAGCGGTGTGAACAGGGAAAACCGCAACAAATTTAGTTTGAGGACCCTAGTTCACTTTCATTTGGGACTGTAGACGCAGGCAACACCTTATTCTCAACAGAATGAATGTCCGGATGAGATGACCAGAGTATATAACAGAAAAGGAATTCAAAAAGGCAGAAACACGTCCAGAGAAAGTCAACTGGTTGTTTCAGAGTTTCTTTCCTTATACAAGTGAAGGCGGAAGGGACTTCCTCATCTTCTGGCTAGAACTGGGCACCGGTGACTAGGATGGTAAGTCGAGGGCACGGCAGGAGAGAGAGGAGCGAACCTTTTTCCCCTAGGTCCAGTTGAACTCCACCTGTCTCCGGGGGGGGGGGGGGGGGGGGGGTAGGTGAAACGAACCAATGGGAAAGGGAGTCCCATCCACGCTGGCTGGAGCATCCAATCCACGTCCGCGTCTCACTGGGCCGCCCGCAGCGCCGCTCTCGGCGGTGCCCGCTGGCCCCCGGGGGGTGGGCGTCCGCTACTGCGCAGGCGTCCCAGGAAGCGCTCGCCCGAGCCGCGCTCGGCCCGCGTCCGCCTGGCCCGCCAGTGCCCCGGAGCGCGCGGTTCCGCTAGCGCCGAGTTCCGCGCGCCCGACCGAGGTGGCCGCGGCGACGACGGGTGAGTCCCGAAGGGAAATGCCGCTCCTTCCCCAGCTCGGAGGGTCGAGACAGTGAGAGCCCGCTGCTCCCCTCTGCTCCACGCCAGGCTCCCGGCGCCTGGCGGGGACGCGCGTGGGGTGCCCGGGGCGGCGGGGAGGTGGCGCGTCCCCCGGCAGGTGGATGTCAACTGTGACGGGAGGTGAGGACGGGGGTCCGGGGACAGGAGTGCGGGCCTGGCGGCCTCTGCCTCGGTGTCCGCCCTGGGCTTGTCGTGCTGTCGAATGGTATTCCCGTCCTAAAAAAAACAAAAAACAAAAAAACAAAAAACTAGACACGGAGCCGAGGGAGATGCCGGATGCTGGGTCAGGCGCTGCACAAACAACCGGTCCCGTGCTGCTCCCAGCCCTGAGCCTTGAGGGCTGCCCAGCTAGTGACCGGAAAATTCCGGTGCACCTTTGGTAGGTCTCCAGAGGGCAGGGCAGTCCGCTGCAGGAACGCGGCAGTGCGGTTTTCCCTCTTCCCGTTTTCCCAGAGATTTCCCAATTTCAAGGGAGCTCGAAGCTTTCCGAGCTGCGCCCCTGCCCCCCACCCCTCCCCCGTCCCTTTCCCTCAACTAATTTTAGAGTCAGTTTTACACAGTATAATTGGGAAGAAATTATGTTGGACCTACAATGAGGACTTAAAGAGGGACCTTATTTTATAAACAGCAAGATAGATGTACTGACTCGAAGAGGTTAGAAAGTCTTATGTGGCTTAGAACAGCGGAGAGCCATTTAGAATAGACTCTTTGAAGACGCAGGAAGCTTTTCAGGGAGTTGGGTTTCTTCCCTTAGATTGTTAAGCACTTAATAAAAATCTTTGGGTAAGCCACCTGTTACGTTACTGTGCACACAGGTGACAATGGATAACGCTATTTGAAAGCCACATTTGTATTTGCCTGCACCACAGAGTAGATGGAATGCTAATGCTGGAAAGTGGCTTTTACCTTGCCCTCTTCCAACCCAAGCCTGTGATGCTCTAGGTAATTCAGTGAGAGTTGGCTGACGTGCATTCCACCCAGGCAAGACAGTCAACCCAGAGGAGCTAAGGGATGTTTTGTCTCCTAAATTGGAGACTACATCGTATTTCCAGTTACTGTCAAGCTGTCGGATGCAGTCCAGATGTGTCTGCTTTTTTTTATTCCCTTGAGGTTTTTGTTGGTGTGAAAAATGACAGAATCTCTTGCAATGCTTTATAATTTTATTCTTGGAACCATGGCTTTCTCATTCTATGAAAATGTGTGAGGACCTTTTTTGCTGGTGGTTTGTTTACAGCTTAAGACTTGGTGATAAAATGAAACATAATGTGGTAAGCTTAAAGACAAGGACTGTCCAGTGTGCTGAGTTTTCCCAATCCTGGGTTTTATAATAGAATATGTGTTTTGAATATCCTTTTTATCCAGAATTTGGGGAAGAAAGATTTTTCATTTGTATTTTGTGGGAGAAGAGGAAACACAGGTTTTGTTATGTGGTATTGCTTTGCATATAGGAAGTAGTAGAAAATATTCTCATGTTAAAACACCCAAATCTGCATTATAAGATGCACAATTCACACCATTTTTTTGAGGCAAAATAAGATGATAAAGATGTTTTGCTATTTTGTGGTGGGGCATTTAGGAATAAAGTTTCACTTTTAAAAATAATTTTATTGATATATAAGATACCATTGAATTCACTCACTTATGTATGCAGCCGTATGAAATTATAACCATCATCACAGTCAATTTGAAAACACTTTTCACCACCCCCAAAAGAAACCTCCCCCTTGGGATTTACTGACACTTTCTCACAAGCCTACCCCTGAGTAATTATCCATGCTGTCTTAGTTCTGTAGAATTGCACCTTCTAAGCATTTCATCTTAATAGAATGGTAACTGAGGTGATCATTTGTGAATGCCTTTTTCCCTTGTGTTGGGGGCATGGCACCTAAGTTTTGGACTTAATCAAAGGTTTTGAAGATTTGCTGCTAGATTCTCCTCTAAGAACTTCCCAGCTTTAGCTCTCATGGAGGTCTGTGATCAGTTTTGAGTTAACTTTCCCACATGGGAGGGGCCGGGAGCACCATGTTAATTCTTTTGCATGTTGGCCGGCCACCCAGCTGTCTTTGCAGCATCCCTTGAATTGTCCCGTCACCTCTCTATCAGACATAACTGTATTTGAAAAATTTTAGACACACTATAAAATTCCATATCATCAATCCAGTAACCAGTGGATCATTTTTTAAAAGCGTAATTAAGACTAACTCTGACCCTGGGACATTAGGAAAAACAGTCATAACTGAAGCAGTGAGATCGAGTTTAAGGGTGGGATAGAGAGGAAATGCCTTTAGTGACTTAAATTCCTTCTCCAGTTACTGTGCATCCAAGTCCTTAGAAACTTGTCTGTTAGTCAGCTTTATGTCAAAATTGGAGCAAGTGTCTGATGAGATTTCCCCCCTTGGGTAGCATTTATTTTGTCTCTATTTTATTGCTGTGTTTTTTTTTCTTAAATACAAACTGGTGATGAGCCAGTTTGGTAGGATTCTAACAGCTATGCATGTGGACTAAAGTAAACTAAGAGAAACTCCCAAAAGCTTGGAATTATTTGTGTTTTGAACAAAAGAATCATTTTTATGTTTTCATCTATTTTTCGTAAACCTTTAGAATAATTTTACTGTTCTGAAAGAGCAAAATAGACAAGCAGGAATGTTTATGGGGACCAAAATGTGTTCCATTTCCCCCCAGAGCTTGATGATGTGTGGAACAGGTGTCAATAGGAAACTGGACAAGTAAAGGCAATTTTTCTGTGTTTCAACTTTCTTGTTATCTCTAAATTGAAGTTCTAAGTTGAAATCAGTAAAGCTGGTATGTAAAGGATTTGTAAATGTTCATTCTCTTCTGCTGGTTAAATTTCTGAAACTTAAACATGAATTGTGTTTTTATATTTTAGGAGCCCTGGCTGCTGTGTTCAAGGTGTTCGTTATGAAGTTATTAGTAATACTTTTATTTCTGGGGCTTCTCAGTGGTTGTAGAGGTAACTCTTCCTATAGCTTGACACCTCAGTTACTCCTGGTGTCCTTTGATGGATTTAGAGCCGACTACCTGCAGAACTATGACCTTCCTCACCTCCAGAACTTCATCGAAGAAGGTGTCCTGGTGGAACATGTTACAAACGTTTTTATCACAAAAACATTTCCAAACCACTACAGCATCGTGACTGGCTTATATGAGGAAAGCCATGGCATTGTGGCCAACTCCATGTATGATGAGGTCACAAAGAAACATTTTTCTGAATCAAATGATAAGGATCCATTTTGGTGGGATGGGGCAGTGCCTATCTGGGTGACCAATCAGCTCCAAGAAAACAGATCAAGTGCTGCTGCTATGTGGCCTGGTACTGATGTGCCCATTCACAATACTACACCTTCCTATTTTATGAATTACAGCAGCTCAGTGCCCTTTGAGGAGAGACTAAATAATGTTACCGAATGGCTCAGCAGTTCCAACCCACCAGTCACCTTTGCAACCCTCTACTGGGAAGAACCAGATGCAAGCGGCCACAAGTACGGGCCTGAAGATAAAGGAAACATGAGCAGGGTATTGAAAGAAATAGACGGCCTTGTTGGTGATCTTGTTCAAAGACTCAAGGTGTTAGGACTGTGGGAAAACCTTAATGTCATCATCACGAGTGACCATGGGATGACGCAGTGTTCTGAGAACAGACTGATACATTTGGACTCCTGCCTGGACCGTTCAAACTACACGGTTATAGACTTAACCCCTGTGGCCGCCATCCTCCCCAAAATAAGTAAGTAGCTGTTTAAAGTAAGATAGACATTTCTTTCAGTGATGGGATCAGTCATAATACACCGTTCATATTTGCTTAGGAATCTCAGTGTAAAGCTGTCTCTTTTCGACGTCAACCAGCACAGGCCACATAATGGAAATAGATACGGGGGTTAATGAAAGTCCCTGTGTGTTCATGCCCATCTCGGACACTGTCACATAATTACTCGCTGTTTTGAGAATTAAAAGTAATTTAATCAGATGACATTGTCCAGTATGTATTCCTATTTATGCTAGTCAGATACAGCTTTGCTTCTAAGTCAGCCACCAGTTTTCCTTCTGTATCCCTTTTACAGATGTAACAGAGGTTTATGACAAACTGAAGCTCTGTAGCCCTCACATGACTGTTTATCTCAAAGAAGAAATTCCTAACAGATTTCACTACCGACACAATGATCGCATCCAGCCGATTATTTTGGTTGCCGATGAAGGCTGGACAATCGTACTAAATAAGTCATTATTAAAGCGTAAGTATTTATTCTGTACTCAAGGCTCTACCACACATTGGGACCTGGGTTTGGAAGGTGGGCACTCTGATTCAGTTATGTTTATACGGTTCAGTTTGGCAAAGGTAGTTCTCACGTGATTTTCATTTGCTAGCCATTTCCAGTGGCCACAGTTCACTCTTCCATTAGGAGGCTGGGCAACTTTGTGGGAAAGCTGCAGTTTCACTTTCTAATTCCTTTTCCTCACGTGTATTTAAAAAAAAAAAGAGTTCACCCCAGTGACCCTTAGACTTTCCCAGATGGTGAAATCACTTCCTTGTGTGCTGTGGTCTGTGGGTCACTGGGCAAGAGTTGAAAACAGAGGGAGCAGTCAACTAAGTTAGCAAAGTAGAAACATCACAACCGCTCCCTAAACGTGGGCAGCACAGGGTGAGTTACTGGTCTTTTCTCAGATGAAGGTTATTCATCTGTATTTTGTATTTAATTTTATGACTCAAGAATTCTGATGTTGGAATACATTGCAGGGGTCAGCGAACTTCCATAAAAGGCCAGATAATAAATATTTTCGGCTTTGTGGGCCAGCTGGTCTGTGTTTCAGTACTCAGCTCTTTTTCTAGCATGAAAGCAGCTGTGGTTAGTAAACTAATTGAAGCGGGGTATGTAGAAGTGGAGGTTGACTTACGAACACAGGTGAAAGACTATGGGTAGGAATTTGGAAGTATCAGGCAAGGGTAAGACAGACTGGGTTTGTGTCTTATTTATGTTGTTTTAAATTCTTACTTTGTAAACTTGGAAAATCCAGAACAGAGAACAAAGGCATCACAATCCGTCAGTATGGAAGTATCAACAAATGTTATTTGTGGCACGTTCCCCTCCCAATACTTTTTCCATGTTACTTACTTGAATTAAAATTTTAATTACAGTGGAATCACTGGGGACTTGTCATATCAATCCCAGAACATTGCAACAAACTTCCATATCCCTAAAATGGAAATTCGTGAAATTCAAGACATTCACAGACAAGGTTGTTAGAGCTAAGCTGAAGAGTCTGGTGTTGGGTTTCTATCAGGGAAGATTAGCCATGTTTTTCTTTGAGTCAGACATTTGGTGGAGTTACAAGCTGGAGTTGTCTGGATTTCTTTTACATTCAGTACACAGATGCGTTCCCTAAAATCCTCACTTATCTGCCCTTCCTGAGTTTTTGAGGTATGTATTAACTGGCAGTAAACACATTGTGCCATGGTATTTCTTACTGGAACAACTGAGACAGTTAAGCCTGGAGGCCCAGCCTCCCCCAGTGCTCTCTCCTGCACTCCCTCAGCTCTATAGGACCTTCAGCACTTCCACACTTTTTTAAGCTACCCGTGCTGTTGATGGTGAGTTTTTACCACTAGCCTGGGGATGGGTAGGTGAAGGAAGAGGGTTAGGGTGGACGCATACATATGCACATCAGGTTGAGAAGTATTAAGGTCTAAAGCCATGATTCCCTGGGAAGAGAGGTGTGCATGGGAAAGGGGCAAGCTTAAGATGAAGGAAACACAGAGGTCATTTCTGTCTTCTGTATTGCAGCCAGCCAGAATCTTGATGGATGGGGCTGGGCTGGCAAGAAGCTGGTACATGTGTAGTGAACAAGTTATTTTTTAATAAAAGACTGTTGTTTAATGACATAATTTTGTCTTTTTCCCAGTAGGTGACCATGGCTATGACAATTCTCTGCCGACTATGCATCCAATTCTTGCCGCCCATGGTCCTGCTTTTAGAAGAGGTTACAAGCAGAGCACCATGAACACTGTGGACATCTACCCAATGATGTGCCACATCCTGGGACTGAAACCACATCCCAATAATGGAACCTTCAGCCACACCAAGTGCTTGTTAGTGGACCAGTGGTGCATTAACCTCCCAGAAGTCATTGGGATTGTTGTCAGCGCACTGTTGGTGTTAACCCTGCTAACAGGCCTCATGATATTCATGCAGAACAGAACACCTGCCTCCCGTCCGTTTTCCCGCCTTCAGCTGCAGGAGGATGATGATGATCCTTTAATTGGGTAGCCCACGGTGTCTTACTAATTTCAAAACTAAGGATCCGTGCAAGGCATAGTGTTGCAGCCGTAGAAGGATATATATCAGAAGAGAAGACAGACATGCTAAAAGTACTCTGTTTTGTTTTGTTTTCTCTCGTGTCTCATTTTGGTGTGTTGCCCGATGTAAATGACCCTGACAGTAGTAGAGTACTGGCAGACCAGTTAAAACCACCTGCTTCACTAACAAGAAAGAGCCTTGGAGAAAACACTCTGGTTTCTTTCTTTCTTTTTCAATAAATATCTAACTTTAAGTGAAAATATACCAGAACTTAATAGGCATGCTTTTCTAACAGATTTATATATTTGTAAATGACACAAAGATATTTATGTAAATTGTGAATTTTGTGTACCCTGGAGAAAAAGTTGCCTATATTTTTATATTTGCCTTTAAGTAGTGTATGTCCCAAGAAAATCCTCGAAGTAGGAAATTCTGTGATGGCTAATAAATTGATTAGCCACATAGTATAGCTGTAACATACAAAGAAATCATTTTAAGTAAAGCTGCTAAAAACAAACAAAAACCAACTAAGACTATGTAATATCAAGTCTGACCTTGTTACGTCCCTTAGCTGTTGATACCCCAGAAGTTATGTCCTTGGAGCTGGGCATGTGGTGACCACCTGTAGGCTGAATAGTTGGGAGGGTGAGGCGGGGACTTTGAGACTGAGTCCAGTCCAGCCTGGGTTATGTACCAAGACCTCGTGGTTTTGTTTGTTTGTTTTGGATACTATTGTTAGTAAGAAATTTCAAGGAAAATTGTTTTTCCCTATTTGTGTTTAATGTCTTTGGGTAAGTTGTGTGTGCAAGTGTGTTTATGTGTGTGAGATTGTGTCGGTGTCATGTGACTTATAAAGGGGACTGGACTATGTGCCAGAACACAGCCATCTGGAAAGGGTCAGCCCAAAGGACAGGTCACTTCTTGATAAACACCTTAGTTGTTTATCAGCTTCCAAGTTGATATTACAGTTAAAACTCCTGTTACAGTTTTCAGTTCTCATGGTTATTGGAAGTGTTCAGATGCTGTGGGAAAAAAAAATATGACCTGAATATAAAGCTGCAAGGTCAGGATTTTTCTGTTTACCTCTGAGACTTTGTGATGTGCCTTCCGTACAGCAGAGTGGTAAGAAATGTAGACCCGAGTTTGGTGTCTCCCGCCCTTTGCAGCCGTCATGTGCTGAGGGCGGAGAGCTTCAGCAACTGCTGCCTCAGTTGACTCCACACCTTTCCCGAGAACCATGGATCTGGCGGGAAGCACTGTGATCCTTCCCTGGCTAGTTGGTTCCTCAGAACCAGAGTTATTAGAACAAACAGCCTGTATGATGTCCATTAGAGAAGACCAGAGGTTCATGGACTAGTGTGACCTTGAAAGTTTTGACAATACAAAACAAACTTGGTTGTTGCTATTAAGATACAAGATGGCTCTCCAGTAAGTGTGCAGCAGCACAGGAAGGTAAACACCGATTAGCTGATGACAGAGGACACCTCTCAGTCATCTAGAGACATGGCATTGTGTTGGCTCACTGCTGATTTTCTGAAGTCTGATAGCCGGTGCCACAGTATCGGGGTTTTTGAGAGGCGTCTCTGTACAACATACATAATCTATGCTGTTAATCATAAAATGGGTGTTTTAGGAACAGGACTGATTTGTTCATAAATGTTCTGATTTATTTCATTACATATAATGGTGATACTAAAGGATAAAGAGTTGATCAAATAATTGAAAAATTCCTACATACTTCAATTTCCATTTTTCAAAGAAAATAACAAATGAACTGCCATATTCACTTTGAAAAAAAATTAGTGGCCATTTGAACTGTGTGCCAGCAGAGTATTTAATACTAGTTGAAGATGGCTTAGTCCTACAGTGCTATCTATGGGTTCCAGTGACTTTTAGCTTGATTGTGGCTTCTACAGTGTCCAGCCTATGAGTGGGTTTTTAGAAAGGGTGGCATAGGAAGAGAGCCCTGTCAGTGTCTCAGCCCTTGCAACAGAGGTATTGATTTTGTCTTTTCTTCCATTCTCAGAATACTAGAACTAGGTAATGTTTATAAAGTGCTTATTCAGGAAACAAGGAATAGTATTTATTTCACCAAATAGATGATCATAATAAACTGTATGCGAATTCATCTGTGTCTTTAGAACAATTTATCACTGTTAAAGCCCATGGCCACAGTGTTGCTCTGTGAAGCTGTGTTGTAGTGAAGCTTTGACATGGAGGTTTGCATGTGCGTGTCATCACATGATGAACTAGAATTCTCTGCTTTCTGGTCAGGAGAAAGTACTGGCTTCAGGAAATACTTAGCTCTTGATGACAGTACCCAAAGGCAATAGGAAGGTGTCGATGTAGTTTTGTTAATCCTCTGGGTCAGTTCAGAATGAAGCGCCTTGACTTCACAGTAGAGGGGTGATCACGGTTCTGTTAGCAGTCTGTTGTACACTCTCTTCGGGAAGAGCGAAGGGGTAGACAGAGGCTTGCTAGCACCGCTGTCCAGGAAGTTTCCTCTAGCAATCCATGGGTAAAGCCTTGGAATAGGAAAGGAGCAAATGCCTTTGCACTGATCTTGGGTGTTTCTGGCCCTTGCCCGACTTGTGAGCTTTAAGGATGATTGGCTTTAATTCCTTTTGTGTAGAGTGGTTTATTTCATTGTTAATTTATAACATTACAAATGAAGGACAAAGATTAGCTGTAAAGTGTGTGTTTATTGTCCTTCTCAAACAGCGTGTAAATACAGTGAGTGCTTTAGGGAAACTTGTAGTGCCTTAAATTAAAGGAAATACATTTTGACCATATTGTTTGAACTTGTAGCTAATGACGTTGCTTCTGATTAAAATTTATGTAAATAAAGTCTACCCAAACAAATGCACTATCAGCCTTTCTAATTTGTCACCTTCTTACAAAAATCTACATACTGTGAAAGATGAATTGTCGGGACTTGAGCGATTCTGTGGAGACCTTTATAGATATTCATTACAGATTTTAAAACCAGGATTAAGAGTGTATAACAGCCAGTTTTTAAAACAGCGTAAAATACATGTAGTATGAGGACGTCATTGGCAAGAGAGCTGGAATAAATTTGCGGAACCTCCTGAACATGAATCTTAAAAGATCTTATTAATAAAAACAAACCCAGGAGCCAGATATTGGGGTGAATGCTGGAAGATCAGAGAAATAGAACACAAGCCACAGCTAACCTCACCTCACCAATCTTCTCAGCCGATCCTGTTTCCTCAAACTGAAAGCCTCATCCAGAATGAATCTCAGCTGAACTGCTGCTCAAAAGCCGAAAAGCTTAACCAGACTCCAGTTCCTGGTCCTCACGCCTTATATACCTTTCTGCTTCCTGCCATCACTTCCTGGGATTAAAGGCGTGTGTCACCATGCCTGGCTGTTTCCACTGTAGCTTTGAATTCACACAGATCCAGACAGATCTCTGCTTTTGGAATGCTAGGATTAAAGGTGTGTGTGCCACCATTTTCTGGCCTCTGTATCTAATGGCTGTTCTGTTCTCTGACCCCAGATAAGTTTATTAAAGTGCACAATATATTGGGGGACACACTATCACCACAGAATTAAGATCCACTGGCTTACAATAAAAGGGAAGAAATTTTATAAACTGATTACAGAACAGTGGGATTTGTATCTAAACTCTGTCTTTTCTGGAACTATGGGCATTTAGTGACTTACCCAAAAGCGTATAGATTCAAGTCCATACCCTCCAGGAGAGCATTCATTCATTCAGTATTGTTATATTCAGTGAACTCTGCTAGGAATTGGGAAAACTCGTCTTTCTTTACTCTGGAACGGAGGTCTTTGAAAACTGGAGAAATTTGTGCAAACAGCTCACATCCACCTGTGGTTTAACTCTTGCTGTTGAGTTTCTTGGACCCAGGATCACTTTCTAGGCCTTCCATTTCCAGAGTTGGGATATCTGTTCTACCTCTTTCCCCACGTGTAACTTGGTTCTGTTCTTGGGTATTATTACTTTGTCCCTCCCCCAACACATACTTCAGCCATTGCTTGAGAGAATATGTGAACATCCCAAGATCCATTTGGGCCCTAGGGTGCTGTCACATAAGACGCTGATTTTACATTCTAATATTTGTGAGTGTAGTGGTTATCAGTGTCGAAAGTGCTACTGCTCTCTCGGGTCCCATCATCAGAACTGCTCAGAGGCAAATGCTGGATTGTTGCTCAGGCCTTCTGCCTGCCTGAATATCTTCATCCACATTAACCCCTGACACCTGATTTCTACCGTCAGTACATTGAAACTAGGGAGTCCCCCGCTGGCAGCTCTCTGATGGTAATACCCAGCTGCCTACCTGTATCCAGTCACACCTTCCTGTGTGACAGCCTAATGGCCAGTCCTGCAGTTAGGATATGTTTCCTGGCCGCCATGCTTATTAACCTTACTTTCATAAAGACAGTAGCTATTTGCTCCAAAACAAGTCCAGAAATTATCCATAAACATTACTGAAGAATTTAGTACTCCTCTCTAATTGATAAGACTAGAAACACCCCTCCCCCAAAAAGGAACTAGACCCGAGGATATCAACCACAGTGACTTACATGACATTGAGAGAACACTTCAGCCCAAGCTGCAAAGGGCATTCTTTTTATAGGTCCATGTGGACCAAACAACTGATTATGCTAAAGAAATTGATTGCTTTTTTTTCATTCAAACGTTCTGTGGAGGTGCCCTGCTTCCTTGGTTGTTTGGTTTTTTAATTGGTAAAAGGATGTATAGAATTCTATTGTCTTAATGGTAGAGCATGTGCCTCAAACAGTCCCCTTGCTAAGACTGGAGAATCCGGAAAGAATAGAAAGTTAGTGCTCCAGGTATGAAGAGGTTCAAAGACAGCGAAGAAGCAAAAGGCCAAGGCTGAAAAGAAGGGAGAGCCGCTTACGTGTGAGTAGCCAGTGGCATCTGTGCGTTCTGAAAAAGGCTGTGGGGCTAAGAAGCTGGACTAACCATAGAGTGGGGTTGAAAGAGTCCAGGGGTTTCCACCTAGCTTCTAATCATAAGAATCCATTTTACATTCTTTGGCACAACTAAATATGGAAATACACATGAAATGGATAATTTCCTAGGGAATTCCTAACTATAGAGAAAAATACAAGGGAATGATTTATTTACTTGCTAATTATTTTATTTTCACAGTGAATTTTATTGTGTATATATACAGTACCATGTCATGGAATAAATACAGGTATTAAAATGGTTGCCATAGTGAAACATCATATCTATTACCCCATAGTTACTGTATCAATTTCTGTATTTAAAACAAGTTCAAAGGGTTCTGAGCTATTGTATAAAAATGTATCAGGCAAAGACCACAGTCCTTTTTTTAAAAAAAAAATAGTGTTACATTTGCCACCATAACAACGAAAGTTTTACAGAAAAATGAATTCTTAAGTGAAAAAAAAAAACTGATATCAAATCCAGTAAAGATAGAACAATTATCTTGAATGACAAAGTAGCAAAATGGAAATTTAATTAAACTTGACAATTAATTAAATATAAAGGAACAAAGCATTTGAATGAAGATGGCAGAGGTTAATGAAATTGAATGAAAAGGCATTAACAATAAGCAGTGTATAAGAGAGATACCTCAACTACAAAACTGCACATTGAAAACGAACACATGGAAATTGATATGAAACTCTCATCTGGATTAGCTGTGATCAATGTCAAGGGCTCTTAAGAGCAAATTTCAAGCTAGAGAGGAACGTTGTATTGTGGTCAAAGAGACAGCATTGCACATCCCAAACACACATCAAAAACAGATGGAGATAGAGAATCCCTAAACATAACTAAAAAAAAAAATTAGTACTCGTCTCTAATGGATAGAACTAGACCAAAAAAGTCAGGCAAGGAAATAGACTCGCCATCAACCACTTGAGACATTGAGAAAACACTACTGTGCAAACTGCAAAGTACATGGAATCACCAAGACAGGGTGTTCACATTGTCGCAGAAGAGTCTTAGTAAATAGTCTCAGAGAATTGCAGTCTTATAAATTACACTTTCTGACCAAAGGCAAATTAAACTCAGTAACTGTAATCTGGAAAAATATTTTGGAATTAAACAGTATGCTTCGAAGTAAACCATGAGTCAGAAATGCAAATGAGAAAGTATTTTGCAATTCTAATATATAGCCTATTAAATTCTAAAATATGCAGATAAAGCCTTATTAGGGGGGAAGTTACAACCTTGGAATGCTATCCTAAGAAAGGTTCAAAATTAACAATTTAAGCTGCCACTTTTTGGAAACTAGTGAGAAGAAAAAGAAAATTGCAAAGGCAAAATCTGAAATAGAAAAGACAAGCAGAGAAGGCTAATAAAACCAAACTTGTTTTTATAGCCTTATTAGTAAAATGGTTAAGTCCACAGTAAGATAGCCCAAGTTAGTAATATTAATTAAAAAGGGAGCAGTCACACTACAGTCCTACATTTAGCAAAAAGATACCAACAAATGTGACAATTAGATAAAATGGACAGATTCTCTGAAAAAATTGATCAAAGTTACCATAAAGTCAAGTAGGAAGTCTTAACTGCCTCCACTTAACACAGAACTTTTTTAAAAAGTTCCCAGAAAGGAAACTCCTGAACCAGATAGTGTCATTAATCCTATGAGAAATAGTATCAGTTTTACACAGACTAATTGAAACTGGAGTAAGGAACCAAAAATATGAAGATCACCAAAAAAAATTGATCGTTATTCTTATTAAAAAAATCCTTGAGTTCAGTATTTCAAAATGATGATTATTTAGTAAGTGGGGTTTGCCATAGTAGTGCAACATTTTTTTGATCCCCACAATGGACCCACCCCCACTAATCACTAATTAAGAAGTGCCCTACAGGCTTACCTGCAGTCCAATCTTACCGAGGCATTTTCTCAATTGAGGCTCCCTCCCCTCCTCTCCTATGACTCTAGCTTGTGTCAAGTTGACATAAAACTAGCCAGCACAGTTGGCTCCCCTCAGTGAGGGAACTGCAACCTACAAGCTAAAATAAAGCCCCCTCCTCCACCCAAAAAAAGTCAGTTTGTTGGAGCTGGAGAAATACCTCAGTGATTAAGAGTCAGTGCTTGTCTTGCAGAGGACCTGAGTCTGGTTCCCACCACCCTTGTTGGGCAGCTCACAACTGCTTGCAGAGGGCCTCTTCTGGTTAAGTGCTTATGCACTCAGGTATACACACACACACACACACACACACACACACACACACACACACACACGTGCACACATATACACATTCATGATTAAAAATCTATCTGTTATCCATACTAATAGAGCAAAAAGAATGGAAAAAGAATTTGCTAAAACTCATCACTCATTTAAATAAAAGGATGTAACTTGGAACAAAGGGGGACTTCCTGGAACCGGTGACATGTGTAAACCAACTCACAGAGAAAAGCTACTGATAATACTTTAAATGCTGAAATACTGAATGCTCTAAGTTCAAAAACAAAGGAGTATGAACTCATGACTTTTGTTTAACTGGAGAGCGAAGCAAGTGTCATGGAGTAAAATGGCCGTTTTCTGAGTCCATTAGTAGTCACCTAATCTTAGGGACATGACTTAGTCCCCTGCTCGCAGCATCCTCATCTATATGATGGAGTAAGAGCATCAGTAATCCTTATAGCTTTTGCAAGTATTAAAGTTTCTTTATATAACATACTTAGAACCATAATTGGGAGATGGCAAATTCCCATAAATATTAGTGCATGCCATTGTATTTTTGATGTAATTATATGTGTGTTTGATCGGGTTTGTCCAGGCAAGAAAATAGTGTTGAATGCCCTGAAGCTGGAGTTACAGGTGGTTAGGAGTCAACAGTATGAGTGCTGGGAACCAAATTGC